CGTTGATGGGATGGTCCAGCAGGTAAGATGTAAAGAAATTAGTTTGGTGACAATAAACATTCCTTACACCTTTTATTTGAACTTTTACAATTAAGTGCTGATTACATGCAAGCTTTACGAATGAACTTTGTTTCAAAAGAAGACGCAATTCTTTTTGCAGAAAAACAAGGTAAATTATAAATATTAAATAGATCAATGCGCATGTATATACAGTCACACCCCCCTAAGTGCACCCACCTTTGGACCTTAGTAAAAATTTATAATTGTTATATTATTTGGGACCAAGAGAGAGCGTGCACTTAGAGAGATTTTTCATATACCGTGCACTGAGGGAGGTGCGACTGTACATATATATATATTATTCAATTTTTCATTAAATTAAATATTAATCGAGTAGGATGGGATTACTACGTTCAAGAACATGAAGAACCAGAATTTCGAAAAAAAGTGTATGCAGATAACTACACATACTCGCCGGGAAAATTAAGAATTATAAAGACCAAATAAAATTTGGAATTTTATATAGTTAATTATTTGGAGTAAAATGTTAAATTGAACAATAGATTTGAGTTTTATTGAAGTTGTCTAAAGGTTAAACTGATTCTGCCATCTTTAATACTCTTTTCTTTTGGAATTGAATGTTTCCAAAATTGTTGAGTTGTACCCTTCATGACAGTTAAAGAACCATTCTCAAGTACGATCTTATGCACCAACTTTTTATCCGATTTATTTTGAAATATAAAAGTTCTTGGCGCGCCAAAACTAACGCAGGCAATGACCCCTTGAGGCGCAAGACCTTTTTCATCATCAGCGTGACTACCAATGGAATCATTACCATTTTGGTACCAGTTTAATAAAACAAAATTAAATTTTGTATCCAAAATCGACTCAATTTTGTCTTTGATAACTGTTATGGAAGGTGGATAGTCAATTGAATCTACCTTAGCGGCAGTTCCAGAATATCTATAAACCTTATCGGGAGTTGAACCAAATGAGCAAGTGAGTCGGGCCGCCTTTGCAAGACGTCCAAATATTTTAAAGATTGGTCGAGACCAATAAGGAAGAGTAACAAGGTCGGAATAATATTTTAAGCAGTCTTGCAAGGAAAAAACGGAAGGATAATAATATACTTGAGCTTTAGACATTTCGAGCTGAATAAAGTTTTGTTCATGGTTTGGTGAATGGCTATGTAATGTATTAAGTGCCTTTGTCTTTTTTCTCGTAATTATCTCGTCCTGTGCGCGTCGTTTCATGTTGAAAATTGTGGGACGTGTCTAAGTTGGTGAAAATAACGCGGCTTCTGTAATTAGCTTATAAATCCTGAGTTACACGACATAAAATTTTGTTATCAGAGATGTCACACAAAATTTCTATATGGGTGGGTAACTGATAAAAAGAAATCGGGGTAACACTAAATAGGTTTATTTTTTCGATTCTTATCTTTCAACTCTAACACTATGGACAAATTGCTTCGTCTACCAACTGCTTTTCTTGGTATCGTAAAGAAAAAAAAAAGACCAATTGATTCAATCGATTCATTCTTTATCATTATACAACAAGATCATTAATTTTTTTGCAAACCAGAACCAGCAAGAATCTCTTCAACATACAACAAAGTAGTCTGTCAACTCCATTTTCGCTCTTACCTTCCTGGTCCAATGGATTTTTATATTGACTTTGCAAGACGTGCCGCACACGCTCTAAATATGCCTTGCTCTGGTACCGTTTATCTTCCAACAAAAACTACTCGATGGACTGTTATTCGTGGTCCATTCGTTCACAAAAAATCACAGGAAAACTTTGAAAGAAAAACTCATAAGAGATTACTAGTAATCAAGGATACAAATAGAGCGGTAGTGGATAGATGGTTATGGTACTTAACACAGAATTGTCCTCCTGGAGTTGGGATGAGAGTTACGCTTTGGGAATGGAATGAGCTTGGTGTGGGTCAAAAGATGTTGGATGAAGCTAAAGGAAAGGAAGAAAGAAGGATGCTTAAAGATGTTGAAACTTTGAGTTCAGAAAGTGGTGATAATAATAAACAAGTTATTCAAATGGCGGATATGTTGATTAAAGGGATGGAATTAGATTTAGATGCGGAAGATAAGAAGGATGAAGGATCGGTAAAAGAAAAATGATAAAAGTATAAAAATTAACTAAATAGTTTACTTGTGGTTAATAATTTTAGTATAATGCTGTATGACGTTTTAATATTTTTATAAGATAAAATATAATTGTAAAAAATATGATAAACATGTATTACACGCTTTTTCTAAAATTATAGGTCGTGTCTATGACTTCATTAGTAATTAGATTTGCGTAACTTTAATCACAAAATGTTTTGTTAGTATTAAAATCTATAGTTCATATTTTATTCTATCATTACAACATTTAAATAATCAATCATAATGGAACGAAATTTGCGACTTGTTTTTAATTCCGCAATGATCGCACTAGTTTCTAATGTTTCTGGAATTATTTTGATTTCATTATTTAGTCTTATTCATTGCTGGCAGTTTTCTCTTCTCTGTTTGTACAATTATTACAAATGTTAATTTCAGTTGTTAGTTTATTGTTCTTACTTCTTGTTTGTCAGTGTTGTACTAGGATTTTCTTCTTTTTTTCCTTTCTATTTTTCCTAGTTTATTATTTTGTGACCTGTATACTATCTATTCTTTTTTTCTTTTATCTTTTAAAACATTTGTTTATTTAATCTTTAGTACTTGTGAGTTATATTTATTTGTTTTAATGTGATCTTTCACTTTTTTTTTTTATGTTTTAAAGTTTTATTTTATGACAATATATATTTTATTGATTTATTTAATATTAGTTATTACAACAATTTTATATAGAGATGAGAGTACAACTAATTACATGTACAACTTTTAGTTGCTTATTTAAGTAATCTATTTTAGGATTCTATATTAAATATTATACTTATAATCTACTAGAAAATTATTTATTTAAACTCTTTGATCATTTGTTTTATCAATTATTTATTACTACAAACCTTCTGTATATACTTAATTAATATACTGTTTGAGTAATATTTATCTTTTGGTTTGTACTAGTATTTAGATTGTTACACATTTTAGAGTATAACACTTATCAATAAGACTTAAAAATCTCTTTTGTTAATTACTTATCTACTCTACAAACTATTAACAAGAGTTTTATTTTTGTAAAGTTTACTTATATTTTAGTATCTTTTTATAACATATCTCTAGTACTTTAGTATATTCTTGTTTTGTTTTCATATTCTTAATTTAGATAGTTTAAAAGAATTGTAATCTATTTCTAGTATATCAAGTTTAATTTGATATCTTTTTTTAGTTTTAACTTGGTATTTTGGTTGGCAATATCTCTTATTTAAAGATTAATTATTTTATATTAATATTAGTTTTTTAAAGAATATGGTAACTTAATAAAATGGATAAGTTTTCAACCTTCCAAATAATAAGTTGTAAGTTCAAAACCTATTGATAATGAAAATTTAAATAATCATCTATATAATATATAGATAGTATTATGACAATAATATTTTATTAATCAGTTGGGATAAGATACCTATAATTACAATCATATTAGTATAACTGACAGATCATAGAGTATTTGTGTAATATTAGAATTACATATAAGAATGCAAATCAGCATTGAGCAGTGCAAACTGCAAACTCAAGATAAGTTCTTGTGATTATGTAAATCTGCAAAACTAGAAAGTCTGAGTCTAATAGAAAGATTCAAGTAAAGAAGTAGCATAAATCTTTAACAGTACTACTGTAAAGGTTAAACTTAGAAAATAGATATCAATATAGAAAAAACTAGGTAGACAAAAACCTTGAATGAAAAATATTACTAACTAGATTGCCAGAAGTCTTAAGTCAAAGAAAAATAATCTTAAAAAATAAAACTTTAAAATATCAGAAATAGGGCATAGTTCTTCTAGACTATCTAAATCAAGAGTTTAAGAATAAAAACAAAGATATACTATAAGTACTAGTAATATGTTGTGAAGTTGGTACTAAGATCTAATTAAACTTTGCAAGAGTAAGTCTTGTTAATAAAAAATTAAAAGTAGGTAGTTAGTTAACAAAAAAACCTTTTAGAGCCTTATAGTTAGATAACATATTCTGAAATATGTAATAGCTTAACAAATGTACAGACAGAAAGATTAGAATTAAATTAAACAATACTTAAGTATATAGAAACTTGTATGCTATCTGTCAGATATAGTATAAAAATTAGAGTATTTAATTAGATAATCTCTTAGCAGATTACAGGTATAGCAGCTAGTATAGAACCTGCAAGTAAACTACTTAAATAGATAGCTAAAAGTTGTATATATAGCTAGTTATACACTTACTTTGTACAAGTTATATAATTATAATTAAATTATAATAAAAGGTGTAAGGAATGTTTATTGTCACCAAACTAATTTCTTTACATCTTACCTGCTGGACCATCCCATCAACG